CCGCGTGACCCCGCCTGTCATTCGCTGTGAGTCTGGGGAACCTACTTGGCCTTTCTGAGCCCCTCTTCACTCACTGGCAAGGAACCCCAACATACGGGCCTGTTCAGCAAGCACTCCTAGAATTCTGGGTTTACGAGGCTCTGCTGTGGTGGGGCGAGGGCAGGAGGAGAGAGCTGGAGATGAGACAGACCAGTTCCTGCCGTCAAGGAGCTTCTAATTGGGGCAGGAAAAAGGCACACGCGCGCACACACATACACACACACAGACACACACACACACACACACACACCCCGTACTCCCATGGGAGAAAGGCACGTGAAAGGCTCCAGGGGAATAAGTGATAGCACGAATAGAAAGACCTAGAACGCCTCACCCCGAGGGGGTGCCCCACTGACCAAGGCTCCCCCGCCCTCCCTGCCCTGAGTCATCCTGATTGAGGAACACAGCAGGGCTCGCCTGGGTGTCCTGCTGGCAGGAGCTCCTCACCCCTTTGCAAAGGGCTCCCCTACAGGACGACCAGCCTGATTCTCACAGCAGCCCCCGAAAACCGAGCACCTGGTAAATGCTGCACCCCCCTGCCGTACTATGGGGTCAGCCGAAGCCACCAGGTTTTCTGGATCGTGCAGGCTTCTCTGTGAGATGAAGGTTCAGCGCTCGACCCTCTGCTTCCCCTGAGGTCTGGCCTGGAGATGAGGGCCGGGAGGGTGCGGGAGCCCTTCGGCTGGGACCTTCCGCATTGGGCATGCCCCAGAGCATCGTGCTGGCTTCCCTCGGTCCCTGGGGGAGACGGTCCGGGCAAGGCAGCCTCCCCTTCCCATGCAGATCGGAGGCAGATTAGCCTGGGAAAGCCCCCACGTGCTGCCCCCTGTGGGGAAGGGCTGAGCGGGGCAGGGCAGGCCTGCGGTCCTCGTGGGCACAGACGCCTTTCACACTGGAAGCCCCCTGGGCCTTGCCGCGTTCTCTGAGCTCAGGCTGCATCCGGCGGGGTCCCGCCAGCACCCAGAGTGGCTCCTCCAGGTTCCAGTTTGTAGCCACGGCGGGAATAGCCCCAGAACTTTCTACCTGGAACATTCTCCTTAGCTCCTCAGGCAGGGAAAACACTCCCTTGCCGAGCCAGCTGACCAGTGCCCAATGGCCCACGTAGAGGGGCACATGCATCGAGGGAAATGCTGATCTGGCGAGAGGGTCTGAGGGCCGTGGGCAGCCGGGGGCCCATCTGCAGGACGTATGTGCATATTGGGTTTTGAATGACACGAACGGTCCACCAAATTCGTTAGCCACGTGGTGACTGGCTCGAAAGCTTACAAGGTAAGAGAATTGCTTTGGCTATCGCATTTTTTAAAAACATTAATTTCGGGGGACCAGCAGATGGTGTAATGGCTAGATTGCTGGACTCCCATGTCGCCGGTCACGGTTCAAGTCCTGGACCCGGTGACTTAAACTCACGCCAGGTGTGTGTGTACCCACGATCCTGAAAGGAAAATGGAGGAGAAGGGATTACAGCCATCCCCCTGGGGGGGGGGTGATTTCTTGCTTCTAATGGAAGCAATTTCCAATTTCTCGCTTTCTATCTGTCTCTGCCTTTCTGGTGAGTGCATACGGCCTATAGCAAAAACCTCTCCAAAAAAAAAAGTTTATTTTGGAGAGGGCCTCGCAGGTGGTGTAGTGACTAAGGCGCTCGACTCCCACATGGTGGAGGGCAGTTTGAATCCTGGACCTGGTAGCTTGCTTTCTTACCTTCCCTCCCTCTCTAGTCAGAGTAAACATAATCATAAGAATAATAAATAAAATGAGATAAATGTAATCATTTTAATATATGTATATACTTTAACCATTGAAATGTTTAATTTTAAAAGTTGACTTTTGTAAGACACCCCACACTCTGACCCACTGCCACTCCCGTCAGCCAGCCTCACGGGCACACACGTGTCCAGGGAGACCCGGACATCCTCCTGCAGCTTCAGCCTGGGGTGTTGGGGCACTGCCATGCCACTGCAGCCGGACACCTTTCACGTTTTTAACGAGTTATCTGGGAGACTCCTTAGTGCGGTAGAAAGGACAGGGACTTGGGGAGCCAGGAGGTACGGGGCCTCGCCCCGGCTCTGCCATCTGGGACCCCTCGCTTTCCTGAATGCTGGGGTCCTCGGTTTAAAGTGCCAGCCATCGGCCCAGGCCGTCTCTGAGAGCCGCCCAGCACGAACGCCCCATGCTGGGAAGCTGCTCTCACCTCTGGGTGTTCGATCCTGCCTGTTGGCACCGGGAACGTTCCCACCTCGGTGTCCCCCACTTCTGTCATCTCCCCCCCAGAGTCCTTGCCATCCAGCTTTGACACTGGGACCTAGGGAGGACGCTCGCGGGAGGTGACACAGCCCTGGCCTTCCTTCTGTCTCTAGTGACCCAGAGGTCCCCAGCCAAACACCCGCTGCTCAAGAGGCAGGCTCGGATGGACTGTAGCTTTGAGACGGCACCTGAGGACCCGTGGGTTAGAATCTCAGACTGCATCAAAAACCTGTTTAGCCCCATCATGAGTGAGAGCCACAGCCACCTGCCGCTACAGCCCGGCGTCAGCCTGGGTGACGGCGGGACACAGGGCCACCCAGACGGCGCGCCACCCAAGCTGGATGCGGCCAACGGCACTTCCAGAACGCACAAGGCAGCGGACGGAGGCGCCGTGAAGAAGGGCCCGCCCGTGGCCCCCAAGCCAGCCTGGTTCCGCCAAAGCCTGAAAGGTTTGAGGAGCCGTGTCCCCGATCCGAGGAGGCTGCCCGAGACCGCCTTGCCGCCTCAGCCGACACCCGCTTCCAGGGAGCCCCTGGGGACGCACGTGCGGGCCGCCTCTTCCATCAAGCAAAGGATCAGCTCCTTCGAGACCTTGAGCTCCTCGCAGCCCCCTGACAAAGGCGCCCCGAGGCCGAGCCTGCAGCCCTCCTCGGGAGAAGCAGCGAAGCTTCCTGGGAAGCAAGAAGGACGGTTTTCCGGCTTCCTGGGGCGAAGGGCTCCCCCAGCTGCTGAGCACAAGCAGCCAGAGCAGGAGCCCCGGCCCCCAAGTCCCCCTACCGCCTCGGAGGCCAGCGACCCCGGTGTGTCCGAGTCCCCTCCCCCAGAGAGGCCACCCAGTGAGAAAACCCTCCCTCCCGACCCGGAGCCCCTGCTGAGGCTGCTGTCCCTGCGGCTGGAGGACCCTCCAGGCCCCGTGCCCAAGATGCCCAGCCAGCGCGCACGGAGCTTCCCCCTCACCAGGACCCAGTCTTGTGAGGCGAAGGCCCCCGACGAGAAGGCCAGCAAACTCTACTCCATCAGCAGCCAGGTGTCCTCCGCTGTCATGAAGTCCCTGCTGTGCCTCCCGACCTCAGGCTCCTGGGGCCACACTCCCTGCATCTCGAAGGAAGGGGCGTCCCCAACGCCACCGGCCAGTGAAGACTCAGCTGCGAGCAATTCCGCCGAAACCCCTGCTCTCGACATGGGGTTCTCGCTCAAGTGAGTGTGTGTGTCCCTGCTCTTCCTCCTCCTCCGCTCCCTGCCTTCTACCATCGTCCCCTTTTCAAAACTGTCCGAGAGTTAAGACTGCTCTGTGTTCGCTCACGTGTGTGTGCATGTGAGTGTCACACTCGGGCCTTCCATATTGAGGTGTGTTCATTGTCCTGACGTTGGGAGGGGTGAGAGGTAGGGGTCAGCCTGGACCCCTAGAGAGTGACCCATGGAGCTTTGGAAGGCCACTCTCTGAGATGTCCCACCATTGCTTAGGAAGAGTGGACCGAGGCCAGGAGACGTGTCCCCGAGACTCCTTGGGGCTCTCCAGATGCAGCCCACTGTCCCCAACCCTGGCTCAGCCCCCCGGACAGGGTGGGAGGACGTCCGGGGCCTTGTCCTGGCTCACCCTGTAGAGCATGTTCCTTCCACACTCAGCCTCCGCTTCCTGCTCAGTTGAAATTAGGAGGCAGATGAGCCCCGCTGCACAGAGCCATGGGGCTCGGTCTTCCCTCTTTAGATCACCACAGCTCTGTGTGATTTGTGGCTCTCTCACTGCTGAGAGAGATCAGAGACCCGCGGCCCCGGATGGACCATCAGGTCCCTGCCACTGTAAACAGCCATGAGGGAATGGGAATGATCTTCAGGGATACAACACATGGTTACAAACACACCTCAGTGTGGAGGGCCTCAAGAGCCAGGTCTGTTCATACCTCGCCAGGAAGGGTGCTCTGTCATGCCAGGCAACGGGGCCCTTGAACGTTTGGGGGTTCCCAGTTGTCTGCACACTTTGGCTGGGAGCCTTTTTCTGGTTGGAACCGTGAGGCCCACCATCGGAATGTTCTGCCATGGGGTCCTTTCACCTTTTAGCAGCACAGGTCTAGCAGGCAGAGGAAAGGACTCCTGTATTATTGAAAGCCCCCCCGAACACAGACTATGTCGCTGAGCTAGAAAGCATAGCAACACAGACCCAAGTGAGTTCAAAAGGAGGGAAGACTATTTGGGGGCTGATGCGGGCCAGCCAGGCATGGACGCCTACGACGGCTGGAGAGGAGCACACGTCTGGGTGGCTGTGGTGCAGGTGCAGGCTTGTACCACGTTTCAGCTGTATTCTGGGCTGAGGTGTGGCGGTTCAGGACACGGAACACCAGGAACACCAAGAACACCAGGATCTACGACACCAAATCCTGGATCGTGAAATTTTATAGCCGTGTGCCCACAGAAATGCTATCTGTTTTCTTGAAGCCCTGAATTCCTCATGTCTACAGGGGTAGTAATATGTACTCCAGGCTGTCGTACGGGGTAACAGAATGCACAGAACCATCTGGCACCGTGCCTGGGATGCAGTACAGGTGGAGTACCCCTTCACGATGTGGACCAGAAGTGTCCGATTTCAAACCTCATTGACATTTGCATACACATTAGCTCTCTAAGGGACGGGACCCGTGTAGACGTGAAATTCTTACATCTTACACACACTTTGTATACAGAGCCAGGGGCAGTTTTAGGCAGTTTTAGTATTGCCATTTTGACAGTGCCCTGTCCCACGGGGTCAGGTGTGGGATTCTGCACTTGTGACGGCCTGTCATTACTCAAAATGGTTCACGTTTGAGGGCATTTGGGAGTTGGTCTTTTTGGAGTAGAGATGCTTAGCTTGTGATTATGCAGTAAGTGCTCGCTCTGACTACTTTCTCCCTGTGAAAGTCTTTCAGAGTTGAGAGAATATACAAAGGGTCTTACCGAGGTCAAGGAAGCCAGTGACAGAGACCCCTGCTCCCCTCAGTCGAGCCAGTCGGTCATCTCCCTGCTGAGCTCAGAGGAATTACAAAAACTCATCGAGGAAGTGAAAGTTCTTGATGAAGCCACATTGAAGGTAGGTTTCCGGTGTATTTATAACCGAGGTCTTGCAGGCTGTGGGCCCACATCAGTGGGGGTCAGGGGGAGGTAGCTCATGGAGCCCCTGAGCACTGAGGCTTCAAAGGCGGGAGGAGCTAGAGGGCCGTGGTATCACCTGACCACAGCTAGACCCTTCCAAGGGGGCTTCGGCAGCATATGTAGGATTTTTTTTAATAGAGGGTATTTGTGCTTCCCAGAGTATGTGCACACACTTCATTCACCCATCTCATTAGGATTTGAGGCACATGTCACAGGCATGTCCAAAGTGACATACATGTCCAAATTGACACACGTGTCACAGGCATGTCAGAAATGACAAATGTGTCAAAAATGACACACGTCCTGGGCATGTCAGAAATTACTTGTCTGAAATGACACGTGTGTGAATTACACACGTGTCCAAATTAACACATGCCCAAAAAGACACACGAATTGAAAATGACGGGTCAGAATGACATATGTGCCAAAAATGACACATGTGCAAAATGACACGCATATCGAAAATGACACGTATCTGAAATGACAGGTGTCAGAAATGATACACGTGTCAAATTACAAATACATGTAAAATTGCCATATGTCAAAATTGACATGCATGCCCATGCCATACATGTCCAAATTGACACATATCAAAATGGCATGCATGTCAGAAATGATGTGTCAAAATGACATGTGTGTCACATGTGAAACATGACATACGTGACAAAATGACACGTGTCAAAAAGACAAGTGTCAAGTGAGAAACGACACACATGTCTAAAATAACATGCATGTAAAACATGTAAAAATGACATGAGTCGAAAATGCCACGCATGTCAAAAAGACATGCGTGTCACGTGTCAAAAGTGACATGCATGTCAGAAATGACATGTCACATGTAAAAATCACATGCGTGTCAAAATGACGTATGTGTCACATGTCAAAAACGACACGTTAAAAATGACAGGTGTCAAACGTGTGTGACATCTCAAAAATGACATGTCACAAGTGACATGGATGTCAAAAATGACATGTGTCACATGTCAAAAATGACGCATGTATCACACGTCAAAGACATACGTGTTAACGACATGCGTGTCAAAAATGACATGTCACATGTCAAAAGACATGTGTCACAAGTCAAAAAATGACATGCGTGTCACATGTCCAAAATGACATGCGTGTCAAAATGACATGCGTGTCAAAATGACATGCGTGTCAAAAATGACGTGTGTCACATGTCAAAAATGACATGCGTGTCAAAATGACATAAGTGTCACATGTCAAAAATGACATGCGTGTCAAAAATGACATGCGTGTCAAAAATGACATGTGTCACATGTCCAAAATGACATGCGTGTCAAAAATGACATGTGTCACATGTCAAAAATGACATGCGTGTCAAAATGACATAAGTGTCACATGTCAAAAATGACATGCGTGTCAAAAATGACATGTGTCACATGTCCAAAATGACATGCGTGTCAAAAATGACATGCGTGTCACATGTCCAAAATGACATGTGTCACATGTCAAAAATGACATATGTGTCACATGTCAAAAATGACATGCGTGTCAAAAATGACATGCGTGTCACATGTCCAAAATGACATGTGTCACATGTCAAAAATGACATATGTGTCACATGTCAAAAATGACATATGTGTCAAAAATGACATGCGTGTCAAAAATGACATGCGTGTCACATGTCCAAAATGACATGTGTCACATGTCAAAAATGACATATGTGTCACATGTCAAAAATGACATATGTGTCAAAAATGACATGCGTGTCACATGTCAAAAATGACAT